TGGGGGCGGGCGCCCGGCCGGTGGGTTGTTGCTTCAGGGTTCAAGTTGGTCAAGCTAATAAACCGCATTGACCAACAGAAAGCTGCTTTGTTTGTGCTTCAGACATCGCTACACTATTGACAATGGACAATGAACATTTTTTTGGCCGCATGTAACCACACCTTACGAAAACATCAATGTCCCAGCGTATGAAGAGGAACTGTTTCTAAAAGTCAGACATGTTGTTACACTGCTCTGAATAAGATTTCACAATGGGACACTTGCTATTCAACAGCTTTTATAGGACTGAAACAGCAAAAATTTACAAGTTAGCAAAAAACAGCTGGATGTATGTACACACACACACACACACACACACATATATATATACTGTATATACTCACATGTGATCATCTGATGGCTAACCCTGACCCTACATGTCAATCAAAATGCAAATAACCACATGTACAATGTCCTCAGTTTCTTTTCAACTGGGGCTGCATTTTGGTTTGTGTACTGCTGAAGCTTTCTGACTACATCTGCAGTGATGGAACCAACAAATAGTTTTTCATTATAATGCATTATGGGATTATTTTTAGTTGCACGGAAAACTTCAAAGAGTAACAGTGGCCTGTTTTTTTCTCTGATTATTCATGAAGGTCTCCTGAAAAGGAGCAGTGAAGGAGGACAGGACTTATTGCCATGACCTGATTACAGTTTGCTGCAGATGCCGATTTTACAGAATTTTCATATTTTGGATCTTAAAGCAAAACGAGTGCAAGACTTTCCAGACTGGTTTGGTTATTTGTGGATTAGCCAACCACAAAAAGTACAATATGTTTCACTCCACTATCAATCAACTATTTTGAGTTCTAAAGATTGAGGACCAAGTTCTTTGCCGTGATTATTAATTCATCACGGCCTCAGTTACAAGGCACTCAAGTTTAGCAACTAAATTTAGGTCAGACAGAAAAGAAATGTCTAAAAACAAAATGTCCACGTGTCCCTACAAGAAATTCTGAAGCTTCTTTAGAACATATCGAGGTCATTGCATTATTCATGAAGGCCTTAAAACTTTAAAACAATCCATTAATCCATTCATTCATTTCCAAGACTTGAAAAATGTCAGGGGCGAAACTGGTGATGGTGCGTTGAACAGCCAATAAGACTTCAGCCTCAGATTTAGACGGAAATTAGCTTTCTTTCTGAATTGTTACCCAGCGGTCTTCTGACAAACACATTAAAGTGAGGATAGACAGCAACTCTCTACCAAAACCTCCTCTGGTTTAAGCGTTTCAGACTGAGAAGTTAAACCCCTCATCACCAGGGAGAGCGCCGTAAATCTGCAAGCTCTCTACTGCTGCAGAATACCCATAATTCAGAGGCAAGTGTTCATTCATCAAACCACTCAATTAATAACCTTCCCTGAGAGCATAGCAGGGATTAATCAAGATCCTTCTCTGGTATGACATTGGAGGAATTTGAAAGATATCCTAACTTGAAAGTGGGAATATGATTCTTTTCCCACAGATTTTCCCATGTATTCAAACTTTCTGGCTTGTGGTGTTGCTAGAATCTGTGATGATAAAAAACTGGAGGTCTGTACCACAGTCTCGAGCTCTGATGATACTGGTTCATCTTTGTATTTTCCCTCGATTCAATCTGAAAGCACAATCAGGACACAGCTATGAAGTGGCTGCCTAGATGATCAGAGTGAATCAAAGCTTTTATGGACCATTTCTGAAACGGAATGATTCTTAGAAGTCTGCTTGGGGACAATGCAACCTTAATATCCCCGGGAACACCAACTAAATGAAAGGAAAGCCAAAAAATCCAAGGCCCTGCAATTCAATTCCCTTCAAAGATGAGGTCTATTTTCTCAAAGACCATTTTCACTGCCTCAGAGAAAGAACAAGAAAAATGAGTGTCTTGTTCCTAAAACTTAGTGAGCTTCTTTGCTTTCTACTGTCTAGAGAGCCCTAATAAAAAAATAAAAAAAACAGAAACAGATAAATGCCAGTCAGTTTTCTATATGCAAGACAAGAAACAATATAAGAGTGAACAGAACCCATTCCAAACATATCAGCACATTATTGTACACATACACCGCTGTGGTGCGAGCTTTAATTAAAGTGATTGCTTTCAGGGATGTCTGGAGTTTTATTTTTTCCCTGCAACTGACGTGCGTTAAATCAGAAAAATGTAGTGTTTGTGCCAAACCTGAGCTCATCAAACTGAGTGGAAACAGACGCTCAACATGAGAGCGAGTATTAGGAAAGTCAATCATTTTATTTTGAAAAAAAAGGAAGCCCAAACACAGTAGACAGGAAACTAAGCATGAAATTATCCAAATACAAGATATAAACAATACATGACAATGGATAGTATTAAAAACACTGATATAACTTAGCCTCGAGGAATATGGCATTAGCTGCAGTTTAGAAAAGGTCTTTGTATGAATATTTATAATCTGAAAAACAGGAAAAAATAGAAGCATTTTAATATTACTAACACAATATAAAAAAAGAGTAATTTATAAGTATGTCGATACACATCACACTGTAAAAAA